CTGAGCATGTATTATCAGCTAACTAGCAGCTATTTAGCCAGCTAATCTAGCCAACACTGACAGTTGTGTATGTGCAAGTTGTAAACATGAATTTTTGTTACGTGTATTTGACAATTGAGTGAGTTGTTCATTTGTCTTTAGAAAATGTAATGTATTGTTCACTTGTTCATGTATCTACAGCCTGTCAAATTAGCCAAAAGTAGTGCCCACAGGCTAACCTTAGCCCATTTCTGTTCACATATATTTTTGCTAACTAGCTTTAATATGGTTTTTAGATAAGCTGTGGTTTTGTTTATGATTTGACCACACAATGCTTTTGCATTTGCACTTGTATGTTTCAAGTCTGCTTGTCTATGAAACCCGTCTCTGTTGTTTGTTTATTTTTTTATGCAACAAATTACTCCGTCTTCTAACCTTTGCAGATGTAAAGTATGTTGCTAAACAATTAATTGGAGCTATGGGTTAATGACAATAAGTTGCAGCTAGTCATTTAATGAAATGTTTTTTTTTTTTTTAGATAATTAAATGCTAATTTCATGTTTTTGCATGCTTAGTTGTTTTTGGGTTTAATAACATTAATCTTTTTGCTGCTTGATGAACATTACATGGTAAATTTAGCTACAATGTTATGCAGATTTGATTTAAATGTTTGTTGTCTTTCAACAGGCAGGGCCGGTCCTGACCTAAAAACTGACTGTGCCTACAGCAGGCAACCCTTCAAGTTTATTTGTGGGAAAGCGGTGCTCTTAGAGCAACGCTTTAATTCACATAACCGGGAAGACGGAAGTCGTCAGGCTGGAGTGCGTCCTGATGGCTGAGTCAGAGACTGACTGTGACACACCAGGTCTCGATACGTTGGGATCTGAGTGTGTCATAGCCCATACGCAAGTTGGGGACTTGCATTATGGGGCAGAGACAGAGATTATGACTCAAGAGGACAAAAGACTTGACCTGGAGGCCATTCATGGTGATTTAGGAGCAGTAACCTGCGTGGATGTAGTTACAGAGACGGACCATGACTACATTAAATCAGAAATACACCACGATCATCACCAGTACTTCAGCAGTGCAGAAATAAAAGGCAATGAGCATTTGCTTGGGGAGGTGCTGTTGAAGACCGAGATAGGTGGCGGAGATCATATCGTAAAGGTGGAGTCTGACCACGGAGGGGAGCTAACGGTGGAGTCTGAGAATGGTGTTATCATCCATGAGGCTCATGGCCTGCAGTGCAGCGAGTGTGGCGAGATATTTGGCTGTATGTCAGATCTGCACGAACACTTTGAAATTCACAAAGCCACTCACCCTTACATTTGCGTCCACTGTGGGGAGAGCTTTGCTATTGAAGCCAGCCTAAGAAGTCACATGAGAATTCACATGAAAGAGAAAAGTTATACCACTGGTCTTGAGATGGTTGGCAAAGGAGTAATTGATGCATTCAGTTTGAAACCGCACCAGATGATGCATTCTCCTGAGAAGCCACATAGATGTTCAGAGTGTGGCAAAAGCTTTGCCGCTGCCATCACTTTGCGGGAGCACATGAAAATGCATTCAGATGACAAACCCTACAAGTGCACCCAATGCCGAAAAAGCTTTATGCGCAGACGTCATCTCAAAAAACACCAAGAGCTGCATGCCCGTGACAAGCCGTTCACCTGTCTTCAGTGTGGTAAAGGCTTTACGACTGCTTCCAATCTTAAACAGCACCAGAAGACCCATGCTGGGGATAAGCCACACCGATGCACCCAGTGTGGAAAGTGTTTTGCGGCAGCTGCCACGCTGAGAGAGCACCAGAGAATCCACTCGGGGGAGAAGCCCTACAAGTGCACCCAGTGTCGGAAGAGCTTTGTGAGAAAACGCCACCTCAAGAAGCATCAGCTGGTTCATCAGGGTGGAAAGCCGTACCGTTGTTCTCAGTGTGACAAGGGTTTTAACCATTCCTCTTCCTTGTCAAGACACCACAAGGTCCACTTGGAGGCCAAGATGTACGCCCAGGCTGATAAAGATTTCCCTTTTGATACTACACTGAAGAGGGGAATGCATACTGGCGAAAAGCCATACAGCTGCAACCATTGCGAGAAGAGCTTCAATCACTCGTCCTCACTATCCAGGCACCAGAGAACTCATTCTGATGGAAAGTCTTACACCTGTGCTCAGTGTGGTAAAAGATTCAACCACCCCTCCTCGCTCGCAAGGCACCAACGGGTTCATTTGGAGGATAAGTCAACTTATAGTGCTATTGCAACAGGAAAGGGTTTCCCCCACACTACCATCTTGAAACAGAGAATCCTTCAGAGTGAGAAACCATACAGATGCGCTCAGTGTGGAAAGGGATTCAATCATTCGTCTTCTCTGTCTAGGCATCACAGAATTCATATTGATCAGTAAGCTTGATTTCCTCTCCCATAAGTGAAATGCTACCATTCATCCCACGATTCACGCCACATTGTAGTCTTTAGGGGTTGTGGGAAAGAAAATCCAGAACATCGACGTGGACCTGATCTTAAGGAAATTAATTTCAATTTGGTATGATTGACACTGAAATCCCCTGTGTAATGTGCACATGACTAGTTAAATATGTCATTCTGGAACATGGTATGTGATTAAACCACAGACAAAATGTACTGAGATTCCATCACTGACTTTTGCTTAAAGTTGCATTTGGAAGTTTATTGAAGCCTGGCACAATCTCGAAATGAGTATTAGGTCAAGTTTGTTTTGAGTGACAGACAATTAAGCAAATTGATCTTGATGCAACTATTCACTCCCCTAGTCTGTATCTTTTACCCATTTCTGTGTTATTAATGGGTTGAGAAACTGATATCGTGTGTAAATATATGTTGATTTTCTTTTATATAGATATGTATAGATAAGTAGTGTGCTGTTCTTTTTCTCAAAATGAACCATTCTTGACGTATGGTCCAGGTAGTCTTATCGGTCTCTCGTAGGTGAATGGTGCTTTCAGGGGATGTCCTGCAAAATATAGAATCAAAATGATTATTAATTTAATACCTTATGATGCAAAATGTAAAAAGGTTGAGCCTAAACAGCATATTGACTTGAATAACTTCCTGAAGGCTGATGGTGAGAGCATCACAAAGGCAAGAGTCTAGAACATAAAGTTGTGAAAAGCTGGTCCTATTAAATGAAGGGTCGACCCAACCAAATCATAATATATACACACTCTGTTGGAAAAAAATTGGTTCATTCTTTAAAGTGCCAGTTTTCGACAGACAACTGAATTGTACAGCTGATTTTTATAAAGTCCAAACTTGGTACAGCCCACAGAATTCTCAAAATGTGTTCAGTGCTTCTCTCTGCTTACCTCCCATGTTACCAATGGCTGGCTGCACATTTAGGATTGGACCTGCCATTGAAAAGTCAGACAGCAATGTATAGCATTTAGTTGTATTCTGGATACAGTTTGCAGAGTATCAACATTTAATAATGATGATAATAATAGATTGTGTATACTTTGATGCAAATACAAAATATAGCTTGCTTTTTTTGAAATTGTTTGATTCATTTTTTCCCCTCCCTTAATTCCATGGATTTGTGCTTTCTATTTACAGTTCTGTGTATTGAGAAAGTCTTTTACAAACGGATGTATTTTTTTAATAAGGTTTGGGGAAATGAAAGGGAAATGAGAGAACTGTTTTTATGGGAGTGAACGTTGTATCAGAACTATTTTTTTCTTTTCAATTGGATAACAGTTGTGCTTCATGTAGCATAGGTTTATTCATTGTGTTAGTTAGGTGCCTTATTGCATGCCATGTAGAAATGTATGCTGAGCTCTAATAGAAAAAAAAAAAGGTTTTGGCTCCCGGTCCCTTTTTGTTTCTTTACATACTAATCATTGTTTTAATTTGATTTCTTTTTGCTTCTCTGTACATGAATGTTTACACTGTTATTTCTGTCTTTTAATTTACTTGTATGTCAGCAAGCCTCTCTGTAGACTAGAGGTTAAAGAAAGTTACAATGCCATTGATCCGTTTGTTGATTGCCCTCTATAGTGGTAAATTCTTGTTCCATTTGTCTATTTCCCCATCTTTGAGTGGCTCACATATATGGATAAATAAAGGTTGTTGACTCAACCAGTTCATACAGTGTTTTATAGTATGTTCTTGCTTTCAGTAAACGAAAACCAAGTCAAACTTCTGATCTTAAATATTTTCGTTAACTGAAACAAAATGAAAAATTCACAATAAATGAAAATCATAAAACTAAATGATCAATGGTCACTGCAAAATGAACTGAAATTTAATTCTATTCACCTTTATTTTTATAGCTCTTTTATAATGTAGATTGTCAAAGCAGCTTCACATAAAAGATCATAGTAAATTGGAATAGTGTAGTTCAGTTTAGCTCCGTTCAGTGTGGTTTAATAATCATTACTGAGAGTCCAAACACTGAAGAGCAAATCCATTGAAGCGTAGCTCTACCAATCCTGAATCATGCAAGCTAATGGCGACAGCTGCGAGGGGGAAACAAAACTTAATCAGTTGGCGAAAGTGAAGAAAAAAAACCTTGAGAGAAACCAGGCTCAGGTGGGCACGACCATTTCAATTTCTCCGCTGGCCAAACGTCTTGTGCAGAGCTGCAGTCTCAGCGGTGGAAATAAAGAAGTATTTAACTAAAAAATAGTTTAAGGAATGGGCCCTTTTCACAAGACGACCCATGTGATAACACCATAATTGCGTTTTTCTTTTATTTCAGCAAATTTGATTGTAAAAAAATAATAATATGTTGTACTTTTTCTTTCACTGCACTTTGTTAACCCTATTATGACTACTGAGAAACCCGAAAATGTGAAACGTCTGCACCCATTCACTGGCAGAATCAAACACAGTGGTTACAAATGTATTACTTTGTGCTTATGTATTAGTAAATACATGAGCACATCATACAAGCAAGATTCTTTACAGAAGTCATTTATTTTATATATATATATATATATATATATATATATATATATATATATATATATATATATATATATATATATATATATATATATAAACCAGTTTCCAAAAGCCACTGCAATAACAGTCTACATGTAGCCTACAGTATGATCTTTAATATGAAGAATTTTGTCTCAATACTTTGTACTTTTATTTATTACGTGTTGTTACGTGTTACGTTTGGAAAGAGGTTAGTGTTCATAAAATAAAAACTAAATTGAAGTGAACAAATGTAAAATTTAGTTTCAAAGTAACAAATGTAAAAATGCTAAACTATATTATCTCTTGCCGGTACCATTGACTTAAAGATAGGGAAAAAAACGAAATAGTGCCAGCTACCAGCATTTTTCAAATGAGTTCAACAGAAGAACCTCGACAAGGTTATAAGTTGAAACAAGTGATGGATGCTTAAATGACGATTTAAATTCCAACTCCAAACGTAACAGGTATATCTTGTCTTAGCAGGGGATGCTTTATCGGTAGTTCTTTATTTGTACAAGTCTAAAACCTAATGGGATTGTAGTTAAAATGCTTATTTTTTAAATAAGCAATATTGTATTAATGTACATATTTTATTCAGTTCTTCTTTTGAGTATTAGAACATACTAAAATAAATTTAGTTAATCCTGTAACTATGAACACGGTAAGTTTCTGGCTTAAGTTTCCAATAGTTTTACACTTGCTCTTATGTACAGGGTACGGAACCCCGCCCTCTGCTGGTAGTTCATATTTATTATCCTTCTATGTGTTTTCCAGTATTTTTTCTCTCCCCAGCGATTGAGTAAAAGGTTACATGTGTTGGTATTTTCTCAATTACAAGATAATACTAAATCAAGACATCATATGATTTATTTGTTGGTATTAACTGATTTAGACATTTCAAATAATTTGGAATTAAAAAAATATAGAAAAATTAAACTGAAGGATTTTACATGTCACATGTGAATCACCAGAACCGCAAGCTAACTTGTTTTATTAAAATTTTGATCGAATTTCCCCTTTATTTTAAATGATGGTATTGGTTCCTCATTTGCTCCTCATGTGACCTCAAACATAGTTGGCTACATTTCTTTCATCAGAAAAGTTGTGAGTCTTGATGGCAGCTCTTAAGATGGGTTTCTATGCTATAAGTGTGTTTTTGATATGTTACTACATAGCTAATGGAGAGCCATGCACTCGAGTAAGTTTTCTGGTTTAAAATGTATTTTGTCTTACTGTTTTATTTACTGTTTTTAAATGATTGGTTTACCTTAGATTATTGAGAATCTTCATTACTCATGCATGGGAAGAAACCTCAGCAGCATCCCATCCAGTATCCCTTCCTCGGTTCAAACTCTGGACTTCAGTTTTAATTTTTTTCCACAATTAAAGAAGACTATTTTCCCAGTTCTGTCTTTTCTGCGAGTTCTTGATCTGTCAAGGTAAGTAATGCCATTACTTTCAAGATTTCCGTTGAGGTATTTTCTATAAATAATGTTGAATGTTTTTTATTTAAATTTCAGATGCCACATCAGACAGATTGAAAACGATGCTTTCTACAATGTGAAGAATTTGACTACTTTGTTTCTTACTGGAAACCCCATTATATATTTTGCTCCTGGATGCTTGAATACTTTATATAATCTGCAAAGGCTTGTTCTTGTGGATATTGGTCTTGAATCCTTACAGCTTAATATTAATAACCTTACCAAGCTACAGGAACTCAATGTTGGAACAAATTACATCCAGTCTATGACTCTTCCTCCATTCATGACCACCTTCAAAAACTTCAGTTTACTTGATCTGCATGCCAACAATATATCCATCATCAGAACTAATCACACCGTTGTGCTGCGAGAGATCGGAAGAAACATGACGTTGATTCTGACTTGGAATCCATTACTACACATTGAACCAGGAGCTTTCAAAGATGTTTATCTCAGACAGCTGGATATTCGATCTGCTTTTGTTTCATTTTCTGCTCAAAAAGCAGCTCTAAAAGCCCTGCATGGTCTTAATGTCAAAAGGTTAATTTTTGGAAAGTACAGGGAAGATAACGGCTTTCATTTCGTGGACAATGATGTTTTAGATGGCCTTTGCTGTTTTAATTTTCAGGAGGTATCTTACTATGTTTTGGAAAGTGCTAAAACAACAATTGCTATCTTTCGCTGTATGATCAATGCAACACGTATAACAGTAAAAGGAGGTAATATTTATGAAATGGAGACTGTGCATTTTCATAAAACCAAGGAGCTTTATTTGATCAACAATGGCTTGGGTACTTTGCCAACTAAACAACTTTCACATCTCCATACATTAGAAAAACTGGAAATTACACACAACAGTGAACCTATTTTTGCAGAGCCCTTCACAGACCTGCCTAAACTGCAGTATGTAGATTTAAGTGACAACCAATTGAAAATAAAACATTGCTGCTCTACACTTTTATCCGGCACTCCTCAAATCAACTATTTGAATTTGAGCCTAAACTCAGAAATTTCTGTTGATGTGGGAGGATTTGAAGGACTTGATTCGCTTGAGATTCTAGATTTTTCCTATACAAGGGTTGTACGCATTGGATACCTTTCTGTTTTATCCAACCTAAAGAATCTGAGGTATCTGGATGTTTCCTATTCAAGTGTAACATTTAGTAACATATTTTGCTTTCTTGGACTCAGCAGTCTTAATGTTCTCAAAATGGCTGGTAATAATTTTCAAGGTAATGTAGCAAAATATGTATTTAATAATCTCACGTTATTGGAGCACCTTGACATGTCATTCTGTCATTTGGTAGAGTTACACACAAGCTCTTTTAAATATCTTCAGAGGCTTAGACATTTGAATGTGAAAGGAAACTATTTAATTAAGATAGATTTTCTGACTCACCCAAATCTGAAACAGTTAACTTCATTTTATGTTGAGAAAAACAGCATTACTGCCATTCCACTTCATGTTCTCAAAAATTTGCCCATGAACCTTTCAGAGTTTGATTTGTCTTTTAACCCAATTGATTGCTCCTGCTCTCAGACTGATTTTATGTTGTGGATTATCAATAATCAGAAAGTTTTGAAGCAGCCAGAAAATATTTTGTGCAAAACTATTTCACCAAACTCAGATTTTAGAGTAACAGACTTTGACATTGACCACTGTGTCTACAAGAAAAAACTCATAATTGTTTTACCAGTATTTTGTGTAGTGTTTATAGTTGTGTTATCAATCTTGGTTTACAGGTTTCAATTTTATTTGCGTTATTGTTGGATTTTACTAAGAGGCTACAGATCACCTGGACAGCAAGAATGTTCTTATGACGCATTTGTGATATTCTCCAGCTATGATGAAGCTTGGGTCATGAATGAACTGATGGAGAATTTGGAGAACGGTGTGCCACCTATTCAGCTTTGCCTTCACATGCGGGACTTTCAAGCCGGGAAGTCAATCGCCTCCAACATTATAGATGAAGGAATAATGGGCAGCCGTAAGATCATTGTGGTCGTGTCTCAACACTTCATTGATAGTGCCTGGTGTCGCTTTGAGTTTGAATTAGCTCAGTCTCGGTTTTTGATGGAACGCAATGCCAACATCATCATCATTATTCTGGAAGATGTTGCGGAGAGGAAAACTAAGAAAATACTAGGTCTTCATAAGCATCTGAAGAAGAACACTTACCTGAAGTGGAGCAGAGACCCTTTGAGCAACATGAGATTCTGGATACGACTCAGGAAAGCAATTGTTGCTACAAAACAATGATATAGTTTAGGCCACAAATAGTTTGCATGTCTTACTTGAATAGTTTATCAGCATACAATGCAACAACAGTATTAATACCTTTGGTCTGATAATTTATGCATATTTTGATTGAATAAAGTGATGCCTTAATTTTGCGTTTTGCATTCACAGAAAAAAAAAAATTTCTGTCATAATCAACATATTCATTTGACAACACAGTTATTGTTTGTAAATTGCCTGATGTAAACAGCATACTTCGTTTTTTAAATATTTTATTATGATGCCTGTTGTTTATGCTATTGCTTTATTATCAGTTATGCTGGACTGATGGTCTGTAATACCCACAATGAACATTAGTGGGAGACGTAGTGCAGATCATCGTCTGTTTATTGAGTGAGTTGCATAGAAGAAAATGCCATTATAAGAGCAACTGTGAAAGCAAGGTGACTTTGTCTCATTATTATGTTAAAACATTTCAGTGCATTATTGCCATCTTTATGGCAGAGATGCTATAGATTTAAACCATTTAAAAGTACATGAGCTCAAAGTCCAATTGACCCTGAGTTTCCCGCAGTGGTTTAGACTGAGCTCTTTTATGATTTATCATTGGGTTCACAGAATTACTATGAATCTCCCCAAATAAACCTGTATAGATTGTGCTGAAGCAAAAAAAAAAAAAAAAAAATTTCTGTCCAAACAAGCCACAACAGATATGGAATATGAACACCATATAGCACCATAAAGCAGGACACAGTCAAACGCTTAGCCAGTTTTGTTCTTGATTAAAACATTCATTTTCTATTGGTTGGTGATAGCCACACTTGTGTCAAGTAACCCTGATGGGACATGCACCATACCCAAGATGTGTCCTAAATTAGGCAATACCTCTTATAGATACAGCTGGGTTGTATCCACTGGTGAATCAAGACATCATGGTGCCCCTGGGCAACAAGTGCACCTGCAAACATTCTCTGTCAAAAAAATCATTCAGGCCAGCCAACTCTAGCGTTGTCCTGGGACCTTGATCTACCACATCCAACCACAGAGGATTTCCATATGTAGTACTTTCCCAGTATAGTGATTTACTGTGTACCTCCCTACTAGTAGGGTATCCTTGCTTCCTTGTTATGAATTATTTCCTTAGGTCTCCGAATCCCTCTCTGACATACTGTTTTAATTGGTCTCTTTGATCCTTTAATTTTAGTGATCAGGGGCGGATTGGCCATCTGGAAAATGGCAAGGGCTGCACTATTTTTTTTTAAAAAAGCATTGTTTTTACACGCAGGCAGCTTTTATCTCTAACAAGATGTGAATATGATGATGATCAAGATAATAGTAATAATAATAATGTTAAGCATTTGGTCCAATCAGCAACAGTCAGCTGGTTTCGAGATGGGCCGATCCAATTCGACCTAATCAGAGGTTACCCGGATATAATCAAAATCTGGCCAGAATGTCAAACAAACAGTAAAGCCACCTTTCCACTGCACACGACATTTGGACACAACTGTCAGAAAAGGCCTTTGGCAATCGCACAGAATTTTCAGTAATGTCATGCACTGTGGGAGAGAAGCTGATCTCGCAGTGTCCGAAATAAAGGAGAGCATTCACCATGGTGAATAAATGAATTCTAGAAACTCATAGACCGCTAAAAAATTATTGGAGGGAATGTTGGGACAACATTAAAAAATTATATTTTTATTACTCATTTATGGATCGAAATGTTTTTTGTAATATATACTTTTTCTAATATAAACAATAACCAAAAAAAATGCTATTTCTCTTCTCGCGCACATGGACCTGCTTGGACAACACTGAACTACATTGCATCCGGTTGCTTACAGATAACAGAAGTTATATTTATATAACTATATGATATAACTATTGATATATATATCAAATATTTCAATGGATCGGCAGCTCAATTTGGATCCGAATTTTCTGCATACGGAGATGATTGGATTCGGAACTTCATGCAGCTCCCGCACTACTTTACATTGGAAATGACTGACTTCTGGTCTGTTGCTTGTTGTTTTCAGTGGAAAGGAGGCTTAGGTGCAACACAAATAGTCAGAGATGGACCGTAAAAAAGAAAAGGCGGTGCCATAAAGCTTAGAGAAAGCCATAAAAATTGTTCTAAAATCACACACTGCCAAATAAAAAAAATGAACTGAAATATTCTCGAAAGGGGCAATGCGGTGGCACAGTGGGTAACGCTGTTGCCTCACAGCAAGAAGGTTGCTGGCTCGAGCCTTGGCTAGGTCAGTTGGCTATTCTGTGTGGAGTTTGCATGTTCATGTTCTTCCTGTGTTCACGTGGGTTTCTCCCACAAGTCCAAATACATACGCTACAGTTGAATTGAGTAAGCTAAATTGTCCGTAGTGTATGTGTGTGTTTCCTAAAACATGTCTTCTTTGGCTCTCTGCGAAGGCGGTTGCACTTTTTTCCTCTCCTTCCCATATCTCTCCAGTCTAGCTCCTCTTGTCTTCATCTTATTTTATCTCTGAGGCTCTCCGTGTCCTGCTGTTCAAACGAATAAGGAATTATTGATTTGATCAAGTGGTCTCTGGACGCAATTGACACCATCTTCTCGACGAGAAGTTTGGGCTCAGGAGAGCCCACTTGTCTTTCGGTGACGTTTGCAGCCGGATACGGGATGGACGGGTGGGAGAAGTGGTGCGCCATGTGCCTGGCTGCTCTGTCTCTGGGGGATATTGAAGATATCTACCTATTCAGAACTTTGATAACAGGGTTTCTGCTGATGGGCTTATGCGGGGCCTTGGGGTTTCTGTCTCTGCCAGTGAGACTCTAAACCATCTCTGTGTTGTTTTAGTTCTGCCCAAGTACTCTTCCACTGTATTTGTTCAGTATGCTTCACTGAAATTAATTTCAATGCTGTTTGTTCCTCTGTGGTAGGCCTCAGTTCCCCAGTAGTCTTTATTCCTCTCAGTGGGTCCACCTTCTTGTCTCAACTCCACCAACCCTCTGGACTTTGGACTTTTGTTGTTATACTTTCATAGCTCTTGTCCTGCCACTTGTCATTTACTAGCCTTCCAGGTTCAAATGATCTGAAGTTCTTTGATGAAATGTTTTGACTACACAAATAAATGTACCCATACTATTACATTTATAAAAAGGCGCAAGACTTGCAGAGGCAATAAAATATTCAGGCCAGTAATTCCTCTATTCAGAATGGTACTTCTTCCTTCAACATTAGGAAATTATCCTCGCTTCTCTATAATGTAATTTCATCAATAGCACCCTATTGTTGAAAACCATGACATCAGTTCCTCAAAAGTAATAACATCTCCAAAAGCAGGCAGGCATTTAAATGACTGGAACAGTTGAGATCACACAAGATGAATTTCTTTACTATAAGTGCTTTCATAATATATTTTCCAATAGGTGCTGGACAATCATGCACAGAAGTAAGTTTCTAAATTTAAATACATTTTTTCAATACTTATATAAAATTATTTGTTTATATAAATACATTTTTTTTTTAAATTTTAGATTATTGAAAATCTTCATTATTCATGCATGGGAAGAAACCTAAGCTACATACCATCCAGAATTCCTTCCTCAGTTCAAACTCTTGATTTTAGTTTTAATGACCTGAAATGGTTAAAGAAAACTGTATTCCCAGTTTTCACTTTTCTGAGAGTTCTTGATCTGTCAAGGTAAGCACATTTGTGTTTCCGTCTCAGTTGTTTTCAGTTGGTATTGTCTATAAATAATGTTAAATACATATATTTCTATTCAGATGCCACATCAGACAGATTGAAAACGATGCTTTCTACAATGTGAAGAATTTGACTACTTTGTTCCTTACTGGAAACCCTATTATATATTTTGCTCCTGGATGCTTGAATACTTTATATAATCTGCAAAGGCTAGTTCTTGTGGATATTGGTCTTGAATCCTTACAGCTTAATATTAATAACCTTACCAAGCTACAGGAACTCAATGTTGGAACAAATTACATCCAGTCTATGACTCTTCCTCCATTCATGAGCACCTTCAAAGACTTCAGTTTACTTGATCTACATGCCAACAATATATCCATCATCAGAACTAATCACACCGTTGTGCTTCGAGAGATTGGAAAAAACATGACATTGATTCTCTCTAGGAATCCATTACTACACATTGAACCAGGGTCTTTTAAAGGGGTTCATCTTGTAGAGCTGGACATCCGATCCACATTTGTTTCGTTTGCTTCAAAGAAACAGGGTCTAAATGGTCTGCATGGCCTTAATGTCACAAGGCTGATGTTTGGAATGTATAAAGATGATCCCAAACTTTACCCATCAGATCTAGACTATTTCGATGGTCTTTGCTCTATTCATTTTTATGAGGCATATTATTACATGAAGGAAAGACTTGACTGGAAAATGAATATCTTTCGCTGTATGATTAATGCCACAGTTGTAGTTGTTAAGGGTGGTGTAATTCGTGTCATTGGGTATGTGCCTTTTCATAAAATCAAGGAGCTTTACTTGATTAACACTCAGTTATATACTGTGCCAGGTAAACAACTTTCACACATTCGTACTTTAGAAAAATTTGTATTTACACACAACAGTGCAACTCAAGTTGAAAAATTCTTAGACATGCCGAAACTTCAGTATGTGGATCTTAATTCAAACCAAATTACTCTACAATCATGCTGCATAGATGTTTTATCTGGTACTCCTCAAATCAGATATTTAAATTTGAGCTTAAATCCACAAATTTCTCTTGATAAAGGAGGATTTGAAGGACTTGAATCCCTAGAAATTTTAGATTTTCATCATACAAAGCTTTTAGGTATAGGATCTTTTACACTTTTGTCTAATTTAAAAAATCTGAGGTATCTGGATATTTCTTATTCAAGCGTAACCTTTGTTAACGTATATTGCTTTTATGGACTGAGCAGTCTTAAAGTTCTCAAGATGGCTGGCAATAGTTTTCAAGGTGATGTAGCAAATTATTTATTTAACAATCTTACATTTTTAGAGCACCTTGATATTTCATACTGTCATGTGATAGAAATACATTTAACGTCATTTAAAAACCTTCAAAGACTTAGACATTTGAATCTCAGAGGAAACAATTTAATGAGTATAGATTTTCTCACCGACCCAAACCTTAAACAATTAACAACATTTTATGTCAATAAAAACAGTATAACCACCATCCCACTTGACATTCTCCAAAAGTTGCCCATGAACCTTTCAGAGTTTGATTTGTCTTTTAACCCAATTGATTGCTCCTGCTCTCAGACTGATTTTATGTTGTGGATTATCAATAATCAGAGAGTTTTGAAACAGCCAGAAAATATTTTGTGCAAAACTATTTCACCAAACTCAGATTTTAGAGTAACAGACTTTGACATTGACCACTGTGTCTACAAGAAAAAACTCATAATTGCTTTATTGGTATTCTGTGTAGTGTTTATAGTTGTGTTATCAATCTTGGTTTACAGGTTTCAATTTTATTTGCGTTATTGTTGGATTTTACTAAGAGGCTACAGATCACCTGGACAGCAAGAATGTTCTTATGACGCATTTGTGATATTCTCCAGCTATGATGAAGCTTGGGTCATGAATGAACTTATGGAGAATCTGGAGAACGGTGTGCCACCTATTCA